ATGAATAATTTCATGTGCACAGGCATGATGAGGCAGCTGACTGCCACTGGCTGCAGAGAAGCAGACTAAGCTGATTGCTTCTAACAGGAATTCTTTATGCACAGAGAAGCTCCTTGAGCTAATGCTGATAGTTTTGGTTTCAGAGCAGTCCATCAGCATCCATGGTCATTACAGCTCTAGCCTCCTTTATTTAAAGCAAGATATGATTGTTTCCAAGGACAGCTTTATAAAGCAGATTGCTCTTTTGCTTGCTGAACTGGCTTCGCCTGTGAGTCCAATCTAGTGGGTTTAACTGGTTTTGTGTCACAGATAATCTACATTATATGGGGCCTGACTTGGCATATCTTAAAAAGTATGCTTATTAATCTGTTTATTTAAAGCACAGGCCACTGTGCAAGCTCTTAACAATAGCAGTCCTTTTTTAAGTTGAGGCAGAAAAGAAAAATCTCAGCCTAAAAAAAGGTCAGCGGTGCAAGAGATTTTATTGGGACTTTTAAGAGGAGGAGAAGCCCATAAAAAGCCTTGATATTGATGCTGTATTCCCAGAGATTTCAGTAGTTATTTCTAGTCAAATGTATTAACAGGGAGGTAAAATTGAGAGTTCCTTGTAATTTATAGTGAAAACCTAACAGAGTGGTACTTCTAAATTATGCCATTCAGATTTTAAAAACAGTTTTAAAGAAATCCATTGTGCACTGTGTGTGGTAATAAAAATGTCATAGATTTTTAATCAATACTTATTAATGTGTAGAATGTTAAGCTGTAGTAATTTTCAAAGCTATACTTAATGTATTTTTCTTCATCCTCATTTACTTGGCTGTGTGAAATGGGGACCCCTACATTCTTAAAAAAAAAAAAAAAAAGGTGTGAGTAGAACATACCTTTACAGGTATTGATATAAGAATCAGTGTGGGTAAGGAAAAAGCAGTTTTGTTAACAGGTCTGTGTTTGTCCACGTGTTTGGCCAAAGTGAAAGCTGTGCCTGCTCTTTAGGGATGTTTAATTTCTGAGTGGATCCAGACACAGACTGCAACCCTCAGGTCATTTTGCACATTGGAAAGCTGTGGCTCGTTGACATTTTGCCCATCTCTGGATTAAATGTGGAATTGGTAGTCATTTTGTAACTGTGAGATTAGCTGTGAGTTAAAATTTGTGTTTACCTATGATAAAAAGCTCCTAATCTGCACATCAATAGGGCCATTTATCAGTATTCAAACACCCTCAGATTAGGAGGAGAGAGGGGGAAGGGTGCCTTGTTCTTGAAAAAGAGTATAAACAAAGCAGTCGTGATGTAAATAACATCAGATGAATCCTTGCCACCCCTGGGGTGAACACCAGGTACTCTGGACGTTGTGGCTGTTGAAACATCCACAAATTTGCTTTCCCAGCCTGGTTGTTTATCTTGTATCTTTTAAATACTAAGATTATCACTACAGGATTAGTAGAATCCATCAGATCTCTGAAAGGGCAGCTTCAAAGCTGGCTGAACCCCCCACTGATGGAAGGGGTGAGGGATGCAGAATGTGGGAGGCATCCACCAGGAAAAAATAATGCCTCAGTGACAAGGATTTACCAGAAGGAACTTGCAATACTAACTTTGAACTCAATGTCAATTTTGATGTGTGGGGAGAGGGTGTTATGTGTTTCTAAATGTGAGAAAAGTACACATTTAAGAAGCAATACATATATATTATTCATCTCTCCTAAGGGGATACCAGAATCTTTCTTTCAACTTTTAGCCACAGACACACAGTTTCTGGTTTAAGAGGCAGGATTTTCACATTGTGGGTTTTTTTTTTTTTATCTCCCACATCCTCCCCAGCTGATACATTTTCCACTTATTAATTGGGTATTGTGTCCTCAGTTGAGGGAGGGATGTGGGATAGCAAATTAATTATATGGGTTTGAACTATGATTCAGGGCCATGTTTCTTGGACTGCTAAGCCTGTTTTGATGAGCATGAAAATCCAGAAACACCTAGCAGAGATTGTTTCCATCCTCTGGAGTAGATTTCCAGCGTGTAAAGGAAAGCAGTGGCTGTATCAGGAGTTTCCTGCTGGTGGGTTAGTGGTGGAGCTGTAAGAAATGTGATCTGGGGTTGGCTTTTGGCTGGCCATTAATTATGCTGGACAGGCAGGACTGACATGGAGCTATCTCTCCTTGCTTGACTTCAGATCTTCAGAATCTTTTCATGCTTTTAAAAGTTACCTTAACATGCTGGGGGCTTTTGGTAGTGCATTTTTTTGTCTTTTCATCAGCATTCCTCATGGAAATAGTTTTAAGTCTGAGGGGGGTAAATGTCAGGAATTGCAGTGATGGAGGAGGCTGTGGGACAGTAATGTAACAAAAGTAAGTGGATTAAACCATTAATGCCACTAGAGAAAAGGAGATTTGTGTGTCCAGCTGCCTGTGAAGCCAAACAGTTTGTTTGGTGCATATGCAAAAAGGGATTGGATTGAAAAAAGACAAAATGGGGGAAGATTTTGTAACTTCAGCAGCAGCTCTGGTTAGTGCCACCTTGCAGGGATCTGTGTGGATCAACCCCAGCAATGGCCCAGCATTAATTTAGCATTAATGGAATTCATCAGGGTGTTAAAGGTAAGGCTCTGCAAGCATGAAAATAAGCAGAGAACCGAGGCAGGAGAACTGATGATATTGGCAGAACAGAGAGAAAAAGCAAAAGTCAACCCAACAAACAAGAGTGAAAATAGCCCCAGTGATGGGGTGGCACCCTGAAAAGTGGGCTTAGGAAATAATCCATGTGTGGCTGAAAGCAGTGATGAGGGGATAACAGGGAGCTTAGGCTGCAGAGACTTGGCATCTGGTCCTGGAGCAAATAAACCACAGGGCTGTTGACTCTGGGGCTTAGCTCAGCAGCAGAGAGAGGAGAAGCTGCTGGGTGTGTGACCACATCCAAGGCTGGGATGTTTGTGACTGACAGGATTTGATGCAAGGGTAGTGGATTTGGGATTGGTGATTGATCACTATTGGAGTGGAAAATACAGCTTTTTCTGTATTTCACTGGTTTGTTTAGCATTTAAATATGTTCTCTTATTGCACATTGTGCTATCCCTTTCATGCTTCCTTTTTAAGCTTGGTTTACAACATGTTTAGGTGGTACCTCCTAAAAAATCAGGTATAATATAGCATATTTCACATTAACAACTGAAATGCTTGCTTGGTGAAGTCATTGAAAATTATTTCCTTTTTTTTCCAATTACCTACTAAAAATGAGGACTTTCTTTCAGTGACAGTGAGAGTTCACATGATGAAGCATAAAGATCCATTTAGGACCCCCCCTTGTACTCTATAATAGTAGAAGGGCTACAAACTTCATTTTATTTTCTTCATTACTTATTATGTCCCCTTTAAAACTGTTTCTTTATTATAGCCTATCATGTAAATATTATTTGGACTACTTTTAAAGCACACAATACTATAAAACTCCAATTACTTACTTTGACAACTGTTATGCTAGTTATTAATATGCACTTTAAAGCTGAGAGTTCTCCTGCCTGTTTAGTCAGTCTGTGGTTTGGTGGTGTTTGTTAAAAAATCATATGAGTGTTCATACAGCATAAAAATGGATTTAAGAAGTTCCTGTGCTCAAGAGCATTAAGCAGTACAAGCTCCATAGAAGGCTTTTGGTGGCCAGTGTTTTTCATAATTGCCTATTAAAGAGTTTCTTGCATCAGCAATGTAGGAAGATATGGAAACAAAGAGGAGCATTGTTTGGGTTGGATATGCCAGATTCTTTAAGCTCTGACCTCAAAATCACAGAGTAACCACTGGGATAAAAAGGACAATGTGTTTTAAGGCTGGAGGAGGAGGAGGAGGTACTGGATTTGTGTTCCCCAAACACCATAACCCATTTCCCAGCCAGACAACATTCCCTTTCCTTCATTTGGAAGCTTAGAGTTTCCATCATAAAGTCTGTGAACTGCAACAGGCCTTTGTGTTAATGTGTTTACCCTGGGAAACGTGGTAGTGGTGCTTTAAACACTGGATGTGGGAGTAGGAGGCTTTCTCAGAGGTAATGTAGGCACACCTTCATGCACCATACAGAGATGGCACTGCTTCAGGGAAGCTTGTGAAAAGAAGAATAAAGGGTTGGATAAAATAATTTAGTATTTTTGAGGGAGATTCTAAAATTTTCTGTAGCTGTGTGGTATATTTTTATTAATAGGCTGTAATGTACCTTTCATCATCATTCAGATGTAACTGAGGGAGGCTTTTAGTGCACAGCAGTGACATTTCCACAGTCTTGACAACAGTTATTCTATTTCCTGGGCTTCCCAGGCAATGGTTTCAACACCATCACACTCTGCAGCTGTCATGCTTGTGTTTTTACCCATCTTTTCACCCATCTTTTCAGCAACTGTCCAGCCATTGTTGGAAGGATGTTAAATGCTCTGAGTGTGATCATGTTGGTAAGTTGTTGGTCTGCTGTAAAAATGCCTAATTTAAGGTACCACTTTGAATTTTACTCTGGAGGGAGCCTGATTTCTGCATTGCCTGTGATCTCCAAATCTTGCCTGTGAAGTTCCCTCTCAGTTCATACTCAGGAAGGCACACTCTGTTGGCAGCCTAGGAATTTTTCATTGGCTTGTTTCCCCCTGAGTGCAGGAGCCCGTGAGTTGACGTGGGTGCAGCCAAAGTCAGCGCAGGCAGATCTCTTGCAAGAAACTGCAGATCCCTGTGTCCTCATTTTGCCATTGCAGATTTGCATTTGCCATCAAAGTGCATGCTGTGTTTCCTTGTCCACACGACTCCTCACATATGCATGGGGGTTTGGAAACAAAAATAGAATTGGTATAATGATTAAAAGGTAGCAAATTCCTACCTTGTGTCAGTGTTTTTGCCCCGGTTTCCCATTTGGGCTGGGATTCCGGTCATGAGGCAGTTAACGAGCTTTCCACATGACTGTGCTTTATGTACCCAAGCATTCTTTGGTCTCTCACCCTAGCTGTGAAAGTAAAGTCTCTGATTCTGGTTGCTAGAACGCCCCTGATTGCTGCTGGAGTTATTGGTGGCCTCTTCATCATCGTCATTATGGGCCTGACGTTTGCTGTGTACGTTCGGCGCAAGAGCATCAAGAAGAAAAGAGCACTGCGAAGGTTCCTGGAGACTGAGGTGAGCCCAGGCTGCTCCTCACAGGCTGTTTGGGGAGATATGTAGGGCTCTTCTGCTTCTATATTAGAGATGTTCATGTCTTCAGTTGCCAGATAGGCCTGTAGAAATCCTTTTGCTTACTTGTGCAGACTAAACTGGTGAAAAGGACGATTTCAAGATGCTGCACAAGTTTTGTGCACAAGTAGGGATTCATGGCTTCTGAAGACCAGGAAAAGTTCCCCATGAATACTGGAAGGCATGTCCCACCAGATCTCTCAACTCCCATCCTGCTCTCCACTGAACTTCTGTCCCAGTTCATCAGTACATTTAGCAGCTCTCATGCTTAAATATTACAGGGTTTCATTCTGGCCCTATTTACGTTGACTTCTAAGGCTAAAGTGAGTTCCTTCAGCAAGCTGATACAAACTTCATGCTTAAGGGCAGGTGTTGTGACTTTCCTGTTGTTCCCAGTGCCTACAATGCCTTTGTAGTCCACATTTTGTCATAGCCTGTAGCGTGATCAGTAATAATCCTGCATTTTATTAAGCCAGGATACTTCATAGAGCTTAACCAATTGAAGTTCACAGTTCTACTGGCAAAAAAAAAATAAAATAAGTGTAGCAGATCTATAGCAAAGTGCTGTGACGGCTCCATCCTGCTCTTTGAAGTGTCATTAGTGAAGGGGGCAATCTAGGAAGTACATTTAAATATAACATTAAACGTGTACCTATCAACTACTGCAAAGGTGATTACTCCATCTCCTCAGTCCTATACTTGAGACACTTTGCAAATGATGGTATTTTTAAATTAGGGTGCCCCTTTGTAAGACAATAAAGCTGGGAAATGCTGTTAGCTAGTGGCTCTTTGATAAGGCATTATTAACAGTGCTGTTTTCTCTTCTGCTCCAAGGCTTCTGCTCCCACTCATCTCCACTGTAGGGCCTGGGAGTAAATGGTTTATGCATCCCCAGTCTGTTTGCACAAGTACCTTCATGTTTGGCTAGAATTTGTGTTCCTTGTTAAACACTGTTCAGCTGTATAGAAAGCTTAACAATACTCAGTGCCTTTAGATGAATAAATCTTGCCATTGTATCAGCCCATACTTAAGCATAAATTATTTTAGGCAGGTGGTTCTCCTTGCATTGGCTTTAAAGTCCAGATTTCATTTTTCATTTGGTCAGATAAAAGCTGTGGCTGGCAATAGTCCTGAGGGACCAGGGCCTCCTACTGAACATGTGGGGAAGCTGCTGTCTTGGCTGAGAAACTGAAGATTAAATCAGGAGCATCCTGTAATAAACATAAAAGCAATTAGCTTTAGCTGGAGTCTCTTCCTAGCTGGAGTCTGTAACAAGGCTTAGTCTTTCTGTAGATCATTCTCTATAAAACTCCACAATCCTGGTTTTAGACCCCCAAAACACATCCCCAGCTCTCCCTGCCATTCCTGTGCTGGGGGACTGTGTCACAGACTGTGCTCTTTTCATCCTTCACAAACTGAAAATACAGAAATGTGCTGCCAGTGGGCCTGATTTTCTTTTACAGTAACCCTTTCTTTCATGGTGTAAATACTGAACATCTAAAGTGGGAAGGAGGAAAGAGAAATCACTCAACTTGTTGCTGTTTGGTTTTGTTGTTTTCTTACCCATTAATTGCCAGTATTTTTACTTGAACAAAACTAATTAGTCTGGTCAACTAATTAAGTAGTTCATGGTGCCCAAAGAGCCATAGAAGTAGTTCTCAAATTACAGAGCATGGGGCATTTAGCCTTGTTAACAGGCTGCTTTGAAATGCTGCAGTGGTTTCAAACCAATTTGAGTAGGAGGAGCCCTGAATTATTTTCCTCATCCTGTGAAAGAACAGAATGTTTTTCATGTGTTGTATTGAGTATTGTCCTCCATGTGTATTTTCAATTTATTTTTAAGGAAGCACTGTTTTCCTGGCAGAGATGGTATGAGATCTAAGAGCATTTTTAACTGAATGTGCCATTGTGGCTCATTTACAAAGTTTCTTGGGACATCTTGAGCAAATTGTTTAATTGCAGTAAATTAGTGGCTGTTATAAATTAGTGGCCTCTCAAAGGTGTTTTCTCCCTAAAGCTGTCCTCCTGTGTGGTAAAACAGGAGTTCAGAAAAATTGTCCCTTCCTCTAAACAGAGTAAGAATGTGATGAGCCGTTTAGTCCAGGCCATTAAAAAGAAATACGGCCAACTTAAAAGACACTAAAATGGGCAAAAATAGGATGTGGTACACTGATAATAAATGCTATATTTCTGTCATGTAGAAAATATTTATACTGCCTCCATTATCAAAAGTCCTTGGATGTGTTACTCTGACACCAATTCAATTTCCAGTTCGTAATTCCATCACACAGTTTCTGCTGGGAATCATTGCATTTGAGTGAAGACTTGCTTTATCGGGTGTTAGTTTTGTGGTGATGCTGGTTTGCTTTTGAAGATGAAAAATCCCAAGAGTGTGCAGGGCAGTGGTCAATAGATCTCCACCACTGTGTTGTTGCAGTATTTCCTTGGGCTGGTTGCTGTCAGGATAAACTTCTGGTGGCTTTAGCAGTGTTTGAGACTGTTGGGTTTTCCTCCGCAGCTCGTGGAACCCCTGACCCCGAGCGGCACGGCGCCCAACCAAGCACAGCTCCGCATCCTGAAGGAGACAGAGCTGAAGAGAGTCAAGGTGCTGGGCTCTGGAGCCTTTGGAACGGTGTACAAGGTGAGAGTCTTCCCCAGGCAGCCCTGAGTCCCCTCTTTTAACCCTGCAGCAGTCAAGTTCTGCCTTGCAGCAAAGCAGCCTGTCCCGTGGCTGGCTTCCTGAGCCCTGGGAGAGAGAGGATGCTGGAATTGCGTGCAGGGAATGCATCCCCAGGATCAAATGGTGACACGCAGATGCTATTTTTTGGTGCCCCCCAGCCATTTTTATGTGCAAGAGGGCTACACAGGCTGGACTGTCCTGCTGGCAAGGTGCAGCACCAAGGTTTGCCCTTCTGTTCTTACACAAGAGCAGGACGCTTTTGGAAAGATGGATAAACTCTGTCTTTCATTTCACAAGTGCCACGTGGGTCTTGCCACAGTAATAATACCTGGTAAAACAATGGCATTACCTAAACTGTAATACTTCTAGTTTCTTCCATTGAAATAGAAAAGATGAGTTAATGTCACTCTTTAACAGCTGGGATGTGAGAGTGGAACCCACAATGGAGAAAGTACTTCTGTTAAAAAAGTATGTCTTTTTTAAGATCTGTTGGGCACATCCAGATCTCAGAGCCCATGAAGCAGGGCTTAGTGGGAAAATCAAACCAATTCCCTAACCCTCCAAACTTACTAAATCAAGGTGGTAGATCAGAGCACCTGCATCTGTCCTCAAAGAGGGGAAGAAAGGAAGGAAGCACAGACCAGGTCATGGGAATAGATTTATGAATAAAGAGTTTGAATATACTTAGATGATAATAAAGCGATAGAGATGGATGCCATGAGGTTGACAAGAACACAGCAATAGTCAAGAATGATGGAAAAGTAGCCCAAGACTCCAATAGTTTGTGAATTTTAATGTTAAATTTCCTTTTCTGACACCTAAGTTTTTTGATTCTCAGGTGTTAAGTAATTAGACAAACAGTCCCTAAATGTTTCACTCTAATTATATTATTCTCAGGGTGTTCTGTTCTTGCATGATTTTATAATCTGGTGATAATCAGTTACTGATAGCAAAAAATTTGAGCATCAGAATCCAGACAGAAAAATCCCTATTTTTGTTTAATTATATCCAAATGAGTATCAGAATTTTATCTGAGTCACTAGAAAATGTGCATCCATTGCTCTTTAGAAACCCTGCTTTGGACAAGAAAATGGGATGTTCACTGATATAAAATGTTTCATTTTAGATCAGAGTTTAGTTTTGATGTAAGAAGTAGTTTTATGTGATTTTTTTTTACTTTGTAATTTTGTGTATTCTCAGTTCTGCATCTCACGACTGATCTGCATAACATGTCAGAATGTGTCAAAAAGAACTGTAACTCTGAAACAAGTTTTTTTTCTGATTGTTGTCTTGCTAGATACCTCTGTCACCTTTTTTTTTTGTTTCTTTTTCTAGGGAATCTGGGTCCCTGAGGGAGAAACAGTAAAGATTCCTGTGGCCATTAAGATCCTTAATGAGACCACTGGTCCGAAAGCCAACGTGGAGTTTATGGATGTAAGTAAGACACAAGCAGTGTCTTTGGGTTTTGGCAGGGCTGGTGTCTTTCTCTAGCCTACAGAGGTTGTAAAGACAAATTCCTGCCACTTTTCTTTCCTTATATTTAAATAGCAGAAGGAATCTTGTACACAGCACCTGACAGGCCTGGGTTTTCTACTGCATGTGCCCCAAGATACTGGATTTTTCTGATAAATTGTTTTTCTGTCAGTATAAGACTAAAACTCCTGTGTCTGATGGGCCAGATGTTGTATCTTTCTTTGGAAGAAAAGCCATGGAAGAGAGAGGAGGAGTTTCAGGGGAGCATCTTAGCATGCATGCAGGTCTGTATTGGTGTAGAGCTCACAGGAACAGACATTCAGCTCAGCTCTCCCCCACTTTGGAGTTCCAAGAGTCTGGGAGCCAGCAGCAGCAGTAAAACATAACAGGGAGAGGAGGAAAATTAAAATATGCTGGATTTAAAAGCCCTTTTTCTTTACTAACCTGAAATACTATGAATAAGAGGTCAAGGTGGTAATTTCCATGAATCTTCTATGACCACAGAGGCTTTGCACTCAGTTTGCAGCTCTGTGTCAAGATCAAGGCTTACTGACACCATGAATCTCTGTATCTTATTCAGTGACATTTTTTTGACAAGTCACAGAAATTTACACTCTTTTTCTAAACCCCTCTTGTGAACTTGAAAATTGCATGTGACTTTTAAGCCTTGCCTATCTGTTGAGTGTATAGGCCTAATTTGTTAGCATTAATGAGACTGTAAGCCACAAGGAGAAGGTGCTCCCATTATCTAGTCTATTCTTCCACCTAGAAGTGAACAGAAACGTGCAGTTATGGATTTATGTGTTCCAGACAGCTGCTTCTTGTGTGAGTTCTTAGGTGGTTGAAGGAAGGCTGTGTAGAGGAAGGGATTTCCTGTGTTTTTTACAGAGCACTGCACATTTATGTCAGGTCATTTCCAACCTTGATGATTCTATCATTCTGTGGTTCTATTGAATTCAGTAATCATTTTGCTCAAATAATAAATAAAAAAGGCACTTTGGGCACTGTTTAAAAGTATGTTACTGCTCTAAAGGGAGAAAAAGTGTTTGATATTTTTGCTTAATGGAAAAAGAGTCTTGCTAATAATTGAGCTGCCCAAAAAGGAGAGGTAGGATCTGGTGACCTGGATGTCAGTGGTCAGTCAGTGATACAGATTCCAGCCTAAAGGTGAGGGAATTGTTATCACTATATGAAAGTCAGTGGAACTGAGCAATTTGTACCAGATCAGGGTCTGACCCCTGACCTGATAGAGATATAGCAGCAATATCTCCTCCTCTGATACTGATTAACCTTGAAGAAAAGAAAACATAAGGTCCTTGGTTAAAGGCAAAGTTGTTTGTCTAAGGTTTCATAGCTCAGCTTAGGTCAGTTTGGTTCACTGGGCCATCCTTCCCCTCAGTGTTTGCATCAGAATATCTGATAAATGGCTCAGAAATGAAGAGGCTTTTTGGAACTCTGGAGATTTTTGACTGTACAGTTAGAGTGGGAAAGGTTTCTCTTTAAATGAATAGTTTCTCCTGAGTCTCTGACCCAGTGGTAGCAAGATGAGAGAAAAGTTAAAGTTGTTTTCAGTTCTTGAGGTTAAAAATTACCCTTAGGTTGTTTTTAATCATAATAAAAATGAATTAGACTTCATCATTAGTTGATACAAGTGGCAATAAGGAGAAAAAATACGCTTTCTATCAGTGCTGCTTTTGATACATATGCAGTGATTTGTTATCCTTTTCCATACTGCATTGATGAAGATGATTACATTTCATTCCTGTGAAACAATTGCTCATCCAATTACACAGAGATCCTTGCTATCCCTACCTCCTAAACCAGTTGTTTAGTTCCTGAAACAATACATTTTCAAAGAGAATGACCTAAGCATTATTTATGGTTTTAATGAAACTACTCCTCCCTGTCACAAAACAGACATAGTTTTAAATATTTAAAAAATTTAAGCCAACATTTAAATTATGAGGAGATAACCTAAATATCTTTCACTGAAATGTAAGTTAGTGTGAAAAACAATGTGTTTTACTCCTTCTCACTTCAAGACTTCAGTCAGTATAGCTATCCTGGTAAAACTGGATACTGTTTGCTAATCTTATTTTCTGAGGAAATATTCAAATGTTCATCTGAAAGCAAAACATATGAATAATGGTTGTTGGTTTAAAGCACTTGTGTGAGATTTTTAAAGGTATCTAGGTAACTGAATGCCACTGTGAACATGGTGGGGTTAATTCTTTCTTGAATAAGGGTCTGACAGTGTTGGTAGTGAATGGGAAGAGGAGGTTAGTGGGAAGGTGTCATTATATGAGTCACACCCTTGGCTTTCATTTTTTTTTGTCCTTGTCAAGTACAAGTGTGCTTTTTGTCAGCAATTACTCCTTCCTGGATTGGGAGAGTCCTTGTGCTTGTAAGTAAAAGTTAGCATTCCTTTGAGAAAATGGAAAATGGAAAGCCTTTGGCAAACAGCAGTTTTTTGTGTGCAGAGGGAGTGCTTGGGACACTTCAGTGTCCCCAGAAATGGCTGGGGTAGATGTTAGTGGCACTGCCCATAGATCTGCTGAAAACTTCTAATGTTGGCAGAATGTGACTCTAAAAGTGCTCTGTGAGCTCCTGAAATCCTGCTAAACCTAACGCCGAAGTAAAGAAAAACAATTTGGCTCCTGGGCTGTCATTTCAGCAGCCTGCAGCCCTGCTAATGGAGCAGTAATGACTATAATGATATAATGCCTGATGTCAGCCTTGCCTGCTCTGGCCAAGCACCTCCCATCAGGAGATGAATTGGCCAGCATCCAAAAGCACAGCCCTTATTTGGGATTTTTCTTGAGGAAGCCACAGCAGAGTCTATTTTCCAGGCTTTCTCCACCCTTTTCCAGCTAGCCCTTTCCCTTTGCTCCCTGTGTTCATCCCTACATTTTATCACTGCAGTAGATCTGTGTTCTGCTGCAGCAATACAAACTGGAATCTGCAAAGTGACCTGGAGCAGGGCAGAGCCTGACTGCACAGAAATCCTTCTGTGGGTTTATTTTCACCACACACAGGTTGCTGTTAGTGATACACAAAATGTGGGTTCACCCTATTTCCCACTTCTGGGTGTATGTTGTGTCTGGGATAATTCCTAAAGGGTTTCCCCCTCAGCATGGTTATGTGCTTAATTTGCAGGCCATAGTTTCTGCTCTGGCAGGTCACACTTGTGAAATAAGTCCCCAAAAAGGGGGCTGGAGTTGGAATTCAGAGTGCAAGTGCTCCTGCTACTGCTGTGTCTGCAGGACACCAGCAGGAGGGAGCTCTGTCCTGCTCCTTACCCTAAGGCTGGTAACAGAATATATGATGGGCCTGAGCCTTATGGAGGGAATTGAATCTTGTAGAGAGGAAAAAAGGCAAATGTGCAGCTAAGAGGCTACTTGATAATAGAACAGGGACTTAAAATTTCACTTGGGGAAACAATCTCACCTCCTCAGCCTCAATTTATGATTGTCTGGTAAATCAAGTAGCCATTGGCCTGGTCAGATGGTTTAACATCAACCCAGATACTCAACTGACAATGTAATAAACTCTAAAGACATGCTGCAATTGGAGAGCACAGCAAACAGCCTTTGAGGCTGAAAACATGCACTTAAAAAACTTTTCATGGGGAAACGGGCATCTGAGGGCCTTTCCTCTGAGCTTGATGTTTTCAGGAAGTAATCCTATGAGCTGTGGTTGTGTCCAGGATTTTGATCCACTCCCAAGTTTAATCTATCCTCTCTGAGTTTAAATGCTCCATTATCTGTTAGAATATAATTAGAGGCTGCAAGCACAAGTCAGCATACACAGAGTTCCTTGGGAGTCCCTGAGCTCATTGAGGTGAAGACAGTTTGACTGATGGTGGTCAGCTGATATTGGGCCAGAAGCTAATAATAGAAGGCAGCGCTGCTTAGCTAGGTGAGAAAGTTAACTTGGGAAAAATTAAACTGAAGGCTTTGGGATTTATGGCTGGAAATAAATTTCCCATTCTCATTTGTTTCCTAGTAAGAGAGCTTCAGAGGCAGTTGGTTTCTTTTATGGTTTTATAATTAAGATCTAGGGGCTTCCTGGCTTGGTCTGTGCTCGCTTGCAGTTGCTGCTGTCTGCAGTGGCAGCACTTGGAGTGTGGGAGGACATTTGTCACGCCAAGTGCAGAGGTGGTAAGTGACAGTGACCTCCACCAGACATGTAGCAGGCAAATTAAAGCTCCATGTAGGGGACTGACACCCACATCTTTTATTTATGTCTGGCCTAATGAACTAAATGAATAAATCACTCAGATGTGCTGCAGAAACAGCTATTTCTAAATTGTACACCCGTCTGACAGTAAAGACAAGCCCTCAGCTTGAGGATATCAATATCAAACTTATCTTAAGTTCAGGTGATTGAACACAAAAAAAAATTATGTAGCTGACTAGAGAATTCTTTCTCCTGCTCATCTGAAACCCCACAGAGATATGGGTAGGCCTGGATGCTTGCTTTGTTTCCTCAGGTATGTCCAGATGGAGATTCACACACACTGGAGATCCAGATCGCTAGTCAGGTGGAAAAGGTGAGAGAAGACTTAGCCTTTCTTGATTTCCACTATTGGCTTTAGACATAGGAAGGTTCTAGGCTGAAGATTTTTGGTTGTTTGCTTGGCCCTTGGTGGCGTTCGCAGAGCCCTTGGGACTCTGTGATACACAATTCCTCAGCTGACACAGGTGTATTTGCACTCAGTCTCCTTGTAAGATCTTGCCTTATGTGACTTTGTGCCTGTCTGGAGAAACATTTTTTAATCTTTTTAATTCCCTGTACACATCATGCTCCTGCCCAGCCCAGTGTTTGACCCAGGTCTTCAACAGAAGCAAGCAGAAAGTCTTCAACAGACCATGTAGATGCTTCGGAAAGTCTGAAAAGACACTAGCAGTAGTTGGATCCAGACACTCCACAGTCATTCCACTGACTGCCTGGCTGCTTGG